TTTTTGGAGGGTGATCTGTTTGTTTGTGTAGGTTTTTTTTTACTTTTTAAAGCCACATGATTTTTACCCCCTTTTGTTCAGGATAATGACAGAAATGCATGACAAAAGTAATAAACAAACTAGTTCTTTATGATAAAAAATTAATCGTATAGTCATATATGCATAACGAAACATGAGTGTTGGTTTATAAACAAGAAATCAGTCTCATTGTGTTCACTCAAAACATGACTATATTTTTTCCAACTTTCTCTCCTTTAAAAGTTCTCACTGTGAAATGAATGGAAATTGAATTCATTATATATACATCCCCTTTGAGTGTCATTGCTCTGTTTTATTTGATAATTTTAAATTATCCATATCACTATAAGAAGACTGGTAGGCAGGATATTTTAATGAATACTACTTCTTTTACTGTATTTTTTTAAACTATGGTTAGCTAAGTTTTTTATGAGGTCTGTAAGAAACAGACAATATAGCTCTCATATGTGGGAGAAAAAACTTGCCAAACACCAAGATTACCTACCAAAGCAGAAAATAGCTGAACATTGAATATTTCTATCTGTGCCATGTCCAAACACAGTCAGGAAAGAGACATTGCACGCATGAGAAAAAATATCTTCTCCATGATTATCAGAGGTCAGCTGCCAGCTGTGGGCAGGTCTGTGTAGTGGCATTGTTGACCTGGGTTCATTAGCCGTGGCTAATGAATAAATCACTCCTGAATAATAATATTTATATATGAATCAATAAACCACTCCTGTTCCTGCAGAGCTTTATGGGTCTTCATGCCATCTGTAAGAAGCTTCTTTATAACTTACACAAAATACAAGTGCAGTAAAATCATACCATTTTTTTGCTTCTATTGGATATTATCCATGCTATGGGGTCCTTTCAAAGCACATTTTTCCAATGGAGTACACTAGCTACTTTGGAATACGTTAGCAGCTTGCAGTTAAGTGCAGTGAACTGACCAACAAAGTTTTAATTCTTCATGTTTAGGTGCATATATTGGTGGGCAGGCACAACCAGGCTGAAATTTCTCTTATTACATCTAAAATAAAATCAGGGAAGAGTTCACAATCCTCATCCTCTCTGTTGCTGTCATTGTTCAATGTTGGAGACTGTAGAAGAAAGTCAATTATTCTGCAAATTCGTAAGTTTGCAAGCATAGCATGTCTTTTTGGTTTAATTTTCTTCAGTTTAACTAATAGTGTGCTTATCTAGTGCAGGTACATCAGCCAAAATTTGAAGTCTGTGATAAGTCATTGTACCATAGGACACAGGGTGGATATAATGAACTTTTAAGCATCCAAGAATCAGTTAAAAGCAGTATGACAAATCTCTTTTGAGTCCACTGATATATGTTTACATGAAAAAGGATGGCAATATGAAAATGAGGGTAAAGCTAGAAATAAAGTATTTTCATTTTCCTTTAGATTTTTAAACAGCTGATGTTTATACTTGTATTAACACACTTGCTTGTCTTTGCAGTCAGTAGAGACAAATGGGTAATTCCAGAACACAATTCCACTGACCTATTTTAGATATTTTTGAAGTAACTAAGTGTCATTCAGATGCCTATTTCTAACCACTGAGAATAAGGGTAGCCGAGATGCTTAGCTCCAATGTCGCTACTACTTGGCAAGTTTCATTTGGTTTTAGGAATCTCATGTAAAGTAAATAAAATTCAAAATGTGACAGGCAAAGGCTCCTCCCCACAATGGAACTCTTCAATGTGGAGTTTTTGGGACCTTGCTGACCTCTCCTATGACCTTCCTGCAGACCCAGAACACTACAAGCCCTTTGGAAATGGTTGCTATATTTAATTCTGTCTGTCACCACAACTCATCACTGAAAGATAACGGGTGGGAACAGTAGCTTGCAATCACATGACAGGTAACCTTAGCCACCCCTTTGCCCTCAGCCAAGAGCAGGTATAACTTCTATTGGATTTGTCCAATGGTATTTTCTCATGAAAGTATTTTAATGATTTTATGAATTATTACTGAGAAAAAAAAAAACCACACTAAGCAACCTAACTCTCTTATGTTCAGCTACCCTAGATTTGTGAATAGGTGGGCTCTTTAGAAAAAAAAAAATCCTGACAAAGCTGTATTCAAATGCTTTGGCCATTCTAACTGCAGTAATTGTAAAATGTTCCTACATTCAATTTTATGGCCGTGATGGTTTTATATAAAACCTATACCCATTATTCCAGTAATTTKTATGGGACAGAAATATCTGTAGATCGAGATGGTTAATGTGCAGGCTAATGGGAGCAACAGGGTAATAGTCTGCCCTTAATTCACTGACTTCTTTCAAAGATCCAGCTCTCTGTGCAGCCTATTAATCTACTAATGAGTCAAACCATTTCTAAAGTATACAGCCATCAATTCCAGACTTGCAAGAATTTGTTTGCATCTTGCTGGTTTTCTTCAATGTCAAAGCACTATCCACAGTATCTATTTTAAGAAGTGCTTTCGGAAAGGATGTCCTTATCAGGAAAGATTTTTTATTTAATAGGAAAAAATATATACACAGTACACAGCCCAGTTTAACTAAAATTTAATGAAAAATATTCTATTGACATGAAAAAAAATTAAGTTTGTTTCATATCTGATTCCACAGTTCTACAGCATATTTTCATACTGGAAAATTGAAAAGCTTTAGAGGACTGGTTCTGACGTCATCTGTATTCACAGCTAATTCTGAATACTTCCTACGCAGAGTAACTGGGAGGGTTACAGACAGCTATGGGTTCTCTGGATAGATCTTTTTGTACTGCATTTTCTTTTCCTGCTTTTTGAGCTGTTTAATTGCCTAATTTTCACTTGCCAGACCTTTGTGTTAGGGTCTGCAACTATTGTGTAAAGCATCAATACCCTTTATAAATAGAATAGGCAAAATAATCTTTTCAGCCAGAGGAGATAGCACAGCTTATACATTATATCTGAAAAACGTACTTTTCATACATAGCTTTTACTGTTCAAAGAACAATTATAATCCACAAGACACAGCAGAGTATCCTAGCAAGCCCACGTGAAGAGTGAGCTAGTTAGGATACTAAAACAGGATAGTTGGGATCACAGAGTCTAATTCCCAGCCAAAGAAGGAAAACCAGGATTACCTTTGCATAAACTGTGATGTGCCTGTGAAGACATGGTCTCATTTTAATGCCGGGGTCTATGACGTATTTGAGGGCAAAGATTGCTTATGATGTACCTTGTATAAACAAATTTTATAACTAAATACATCTTAAAAGCTAATATTTTTTTAATACTTGAGAATTTCCATTTGAAAAGCTGCACAAGAAACTTCAAGGATTTTCTTTCCAACTAGCAGTTGCAGTTCTTGTCTCGGTATGTGAGTTCTTATATAGCTTGTTCGTTCTATATTAGAACAGCTAATATCTGAGGTTTAAGTCCTCCTCCTTTTGGCCTCATCTTCATCTGTTCAGGCATGCTGGCTGGCTGCCACTGCTCTGCAGCTGTCCAGGCTCTGTCTCTGTAGCTGGGGCAGTAGCCACACTATGTAACCTTAGTTTGACCACAACTTGGATTGTGTGCTTTGCTATTGCTTTCTGATCTCATTTTATGGCGGGTTCCAACCTGGTCTGTAGTATATTAGCTGAAGATCATCAGATTAATCCAGCGCTCTAAAAAACCTTGTGGTGCTGGTGCTATGCGAAGCAAAAACCTCTAGGATAAGGGACCAATGACTTCTCACAGTAGATAAAATCACTACAAAGAAAACGAAAAACTGCTTTTGCAGCAAAATATTTTATTCACATGGAACTGTAAGTAAGTAAATAAGGCATCTGGACATCAAATTCAGAGTAAGCTGCATCAATAAAGGTAATCTCATATTATTTCAGGTTACCAACTGAAATAATCCTGTTAATATCTTGAATGCATTGAATAAGCTGGAGAGATCCCAGAGCTGCCATTACATTGATGCACATTTTCAGAATAAAGGCACATGAAGATATCCAAGATTGCTTTACCTGGCCAATAGCTTTGAGTACAGTTGTAAGATGTGCATGAGTCACAGCAAAGGGCAAGCGAGGATCCAACAATTTTATGGAATCCTGATTTTTCTTTGGGAGAAACTCAAGTAAGTTCTTTTCACTATTTTTGTCAGGAACTTGGTGATTACATTATAACATTTTTCGAGTTTCTGGGAATTTCATCCTGTAGAGAACTGCAAGACAGAAACTGAGAGTACATTTCATATGATGCCATAATTTTTCTCTGTGTTCAGGCGGAGTTTAGAGAATAACAGCTCCCTCTGAAACTTATGCAAGGTAATTTTTCAGCAGGCAAGGCATCGAGAAGGTCCATAGATTGCATTGACTGTGTTTTCTAGAACAAGAGATTACACATATAGTTTACACCTGAGCACTTCCATATAGATGCCTAAAATTCCCATTTAAGTCTCACCCTAGACCACAATAAATTTTTGCATAATTCAAGCTTAACATTTCTGCAAACCCATGTACTCTCATATCACACTATCATAGCTGCAGGATGGTTCACATGTAGTATGTTAGGCAGCCCAGCGCTCAGTGGTGCATTTCAGAACCCTTAAGGAGGAAGCCTTTCCCTTTTTCCTGATAGTAAAGCAAACAGCATTAGGAACACTCAGGCATGATGTTTGAACAGCTAATCCAAGTCAGGTACCCATATAGAACAGACATCTTAATTCCCTGAGATTTAGAGCACTGACTTAATATTTGAGCACAACCAGATAATGAAAGACGTCTTCCTTCATGCACAATTAACGAATTTGACCGTAAAGAATTTTTAAGGACTTCCTCTGTTCAGACTCCTATGGTAGTACCTAAATCTCAGAGTTATATAGCATGAGCCTGAGCTAAACCATTTATTCTCCACTTTTCCTGTTGAATCTGGATCACAGCGCAGAAAAAGACTGAAACACTCAAAGGATTCATGAGAGAGAGAAAAAAAGCAAAAGAAACCTGTTTCTATCCTAATTACAAGGATGCTTCCTTGGGAGTGATGCTTTCTTACTTCTGGTTCTGTATATTATTCCAAGTATTATTTGCACAGTTTATGAAAATATGTTGTCAACTTCTTTTTAAATTATAATTATTGATATGTTGGACCCTTATATAATACATATTTAGGCAGATTCTGGAATTTTATCTAAAAAGCAAATTTTTTTGGTTATATAATTTCACCTTCTTTTAATAGTGAAATAAAAATATGTAAGTCCTGCTCCCTAAGAAATTTTGTAATCTAAGGAAGTTAGGCATATCTTATAACACAATGGTAATTTACAATTGGACAGTTGCATCTAAACTGAGAAATCCATACAAAAAATGGATCTAGACTGACCAAAATCTGTTATTTGGATTATAATGGAAAGATGAATCAGGTTTCAAAACAGCAAATGGTAATTTAAAACTTCTGGTGCATTTGTAATCTTTTAAAATTTGTTGGGTTTTTTTTTTTGTTTTGTTTTGGTTTTTTTTTTTTTTTTTTTTTTGGTTTTAACAGTCACAGAATGAGATATGAAAGGAAACATTCAACACTTAGAAGCAGAATTTGCAGAGGCACACAACTAATTCATGTCCAGTATCATAGTAAAACAAATACTAAAACAATGCATAAATAATAAAAACAGCAATTACTTTTTAAGATTTACAGACTGTTCAAATTACTCACATTATTTCTTTAACCAGCAACATGGACACATGCAAATTTTGTTAATGGATTTTGTGAATTTAATATGTTGCTTTCCTACTTAGTACTGTAATTGTAGTAACTCACACTATAAAAAATATTTGATGCAAGTGTTTTGCTCTATGTTCTTTCACTGTAAATGCAGAGAAATTTTTAGATACAATTCTTGTACACAGATTTTTAAAAGCATCTTTCAAAGAAAATTGAGAAGCAGAAGTACTTTTATGTTATTTTGTTGGTTGGTTGTTTTTTTTTTTGTTTTGTTTGTTTGGGTTTGGTTTTTTTTGTTATATTCAGTTTCACAAGAATTAATATTATCCTGGCATCATTTATTTCCTGTGGTCCACCTGAGTGGTTTAACAAAATATGTTAGTGGATCAATTAAATCACTTCTCTGGTGGAAAAAATGCCACTTTCCTTTCTAAAAAAGCCCCAAACCTTCTTTTCTGTGCCCACTCTCACAAAAATACCTCATGCTATCTCCCTACCACCAATATAGTTCTACAAGAGATCAGAACCCAGAAAGAATAGTTACCAAATGGTATCAGTTTCCTTCCATGTTCATGCAGGAGTTCACACTTTCTGTAGTCAGGAATTTGAGATAATAGTGACTTGAACAGAAAAATGGCTTTTAGGACTCTTTTAAAATGCAGCTACTAAGATCAACACATTCTTTTATTCACAGACATTGGCCTTTCCCTCCCTTCTCTGTGCTCATGCAGAGAAAACAGAATAGTTCCATTATTTTAAAATAAATATAAATTTCTCCAAAAAAAGTAATCACCTGCCCCACAGACAACCGTGGTCAGTTTGGCAGCAATACTACTGGTTGCATGACAGTATAAACACAGTAGCATGGAGGGCAAGAAGGGCATGTAAGTAGTTTTCTATTTTGGCAGCTGTAATTTAACAAATGACACCTTTCTCCTGGGATTTTGGATACCTGTCTTTCAGCAGTACAATCCTTCTTCACTTTGTTGCAATAATGATTTGTGTGACTGAATATGCCAAACTGCATTTCCAACAATAACTTGAACACAACCTCAGAGCTGGCAGGCATGAACTGCTGCTGTATTTTCAGTGATATTAGACAAAGCACTGATCAGGGAGTTGAGTTCATCAGTGACCTACCTGAGTTGTTAGCTCCCTTCCAGAAGAGAGGCTTATTATCTCTCCCAGGTTTCCAGATTGCTTTTCAATTATCTATTTATCTTGTACCTTTCTACTGACTAACTGCTTCAGCTGATAACTGCCAGCTGCCTCAAATTCTCTGTGATGCCTGATAGAGATCTTTCACAGTCGAGTCTGTTCCTGGAGTTACAATGTGCTCTGTTCTGTGTCACTGTGAGCTGCAAAAGAAAACAATTTTATTTGGCCTACAATAGACATGGTTGATGGCTACAGAGAAAACTAACAGCAATTGAAAGACATACTTTGGCTATATATTATCACAGAATTCTACACTCTAATCATACGTATATGAATTTTATCACAAAACCCAAAATACGTGTATCTCTTTCATTAACAGGACTAGGATTAAATTTTCTGCTAGTGGCAGAGATATCTGTATGAATGAGGGTGGACAATTATTAGCTGTGGATATAAAGCTTACAGAAGGTGGCCTAGATGATCTGCCAGTATAATATTAATGATATTATCCTGTGTATCACTTGGAGATGAGAAGAATGCATACCGCACCAGCCTTCCTATGGACATGAGAGAAGTTTGAGCTGTGTATTTAGGGGACCAAAATAGTGAAGAAAAAATAGAACATGATCAGAGTGTAATCCAACGTAGGCCAGACCCATACACAATCATAATCATGCACCCTTTAGATTCAGATTCTATGACAAGAAGACATAACCTGTGATGCAGTAGAGCCACCTAAACTAAGAAGAGGTCCTGCAAAATTCTGGGTTCAGCTAAACTGTTTGACAAGTGGCATGTGGGGAAAAGGGACTGTTCCAGTAGGTGACTTACCCAAATAGTTAGTGGAGAGACTTACAGAAAATACCATCAGGTATTCAACATTTTGTAGCAATTTTCTTTTTCTCTAGTAAAAAAGTAATACTTACAAACCTTCTATGCTAGTATCACTAAAAAACTCAAGCTTTTACACTATATAGCATTTAACATGAGACCTCTCAAAAATCTCTCTCTCTGTCATCTGGACACAAAATTAATAACCAGAGAGGTGACTCTTTTCATACACATAGGATAGAGAGGTAGGTTTAATTCCTTCCTAACAGTTAGCTCACTGAAAAAGACAGAAGGCCACATTCCAAGATATACACGTGCACACAGAGCTCTGAACCTTTGGTAACTTCTTACAATTAATGCAGAAATTATTAATTGCTATCACTCAAATATTTTTAATTCTTATCCTCAGAGGTAGCTATATACATTTTTCAATAATGGGCTTCCTACTGCAAAAGTACACCAAGACTGGAAAGATGTAGAATGATGGGGATTTTTTCAATCTGCAACAGGGAACCAAATTACTTCAGAGCCTTCACTCTATAGACACTCAGAGAGGAGTATATTCACTGTAAAAACATGATATGACTGCAATCAAAGTCAGAATAAAAACTTAATTCATGCATCAACTTCTAGTCTGAGGGTTCGTGGTAATTTTGTGACTGCTTTTTTGTAATTAAGCAGGTTTAAGACACTTAGCAACCTCTATCTGAACTTGTACAGACTGTAGGCCAGAATCACACACTTTTGAAACTGTAGCTAGTTTATATTCTGACTCTGCCTTGGACTAGAGAACACAAAACACAACAGTAAGCACACAGCAACAGTAAGTCAATTAACATCACCTTTCCTACAAAGGGTGTTCTGAAAAGAGGTATTGAAAGAAGATGTATGAAGCAAATAGGTATATACAGAAGATGTATAGGCCTGTAATGGTAAACATACTACAATATTATCTGCTATTTCTATATAGATGTTAATGTATGGAGTATAATATAAATACAAATTTATTTACAAGAACAAAATACATCAACTTTGTTATGCACTGTGTTGCACATAGCATGCAGAATGTACTGTGTAGTACAGCAAATACTGTGTATATGATATACCTTATCACATACATCACTGTGTAGGATTTATTATATATAATATATAGTACACATTTATAAATTTAAAAGTATCTAAAATGATATCTATACAAATGTATATTTATTTTAGTTAGGGTGTTTAGTTAGTGGAGGAAATAGACAGATGCAATGAAAAGCAGGTATCATTTCTATCTTCATGTATTTATTTGTCAGCTCCCTTTGAAAATTACTTTCCTAACATTATGTAAAAGAGCATGTAAGTTGTGCTATTTCACAGCAAAAAACAATGTAGACAGGTTTTGCATTTTACAGGAAGGTAATTGTCTGAGGTCCTATATGGCCTACAATTTTCTTCAGGGCATAAAAAGTGTTTACATATGGAACAGAGCTTTAGACTGCTGTAATGCCAAGCATACAACTTTGATTTCAGCACTAGCAGCTTTTTTTTTACAAAAGATTTTACATCAGATTTCACCCAAATTATTAATTGTGGGTCTTCCTGGAAGAATTTGACCATGGGCATTAGTACTCAAGCTTTCATTGCTTGCATGCCCTAGAGTCATGGCTTAGTGTCTGTTCTTCCCTCCAATTGGCTTAGTGAGCCCCGCGTGGGTCCTTGGTGTTCCAAAGCCTGTAGTGCATCCAGCTGCCAGGACAGACACTGTGACTGTGAGGATGCTGGGCACAGGCTCCTTTGACATACTTGGACAAGAGATGACTGATACTGCTACCTAAATTAATGCAACTGTGATTGCCTCAAGCTGCCCTGGCAGTCACCATGTTTGTTCTTAAAAAGGCCCCTGGACTCAGATATGTAACTGAAATATTACTTAGCTTATGCAATGTCACAAAAATGACTCCACACTGTTGAGTTTGTTTCAGGAAGAACAGCATTCGCTGTCTCTACCAGTGAACTACTTACTGTTCCTTATGAGTACAGTGCCAGAATCTGCCCAGAGACTGCAGAATCCTGGCTGCTTTACAAACACGTGACAAAGAATTCTCTCCTGAATCTGGAAACCTTGCCCTGGAAATGCATGATACAAAAATAATAACAGTAACATGCTAAAGAACGAAGGAACACTAAAATGTTACATTAGTTACTTTTACAGATCTGTGTCTTCTGTTTTAATGATTATAGTTTAAAACACAGAAAGATTCCTAACACTTCTCATATAAAAGTAAATCAATTAATAAGAAAAGGAACAAAAGAAACCTGATTTATATTAATTTGCACTTCAGACAGCAGTCCTCTGTGGATGGATTCGATGTACTAGGTAGTGTCATTCATGCTGCTGCTTTTGTGAGGGGTGATATGCTCCTTTCAAGATTATTTTTCAAAACTCTTTGTTCCTTGTGGCTGATGCTAGCTAAGGGATTCAAATGTTATTAATGGAAAATAAACAGACAAAAATAAACTGCACAAGTTCAAGTCTTTCCTTCCTTTACTAGCAGCTCAGCAAACTAGAATACCCCCAACTACAGCGCAAGTTCTCCTCTGTCCATACACAGGCAGTCTTGCTTCTTAACATGCCTGTAAAGATCCTGTTCATAAAGCTCTAACAAAGTGAATGCAATAAAGTTCTTTAGAAGATATGATATTAACATTTCCTTTTGTACATTTTGCAACACTATGCAACAACTATAATTACACAAGTCTCCTCACAGTACTTAAATATTGCCCATGATGTGCAACCTTTATATGAGAATAGGCATAGGTAAAGATGGTAAACGCTTTAATTGTGATATTATAAGATTATATTTATCTCTTTCCGTACAGGATTTTAGCCTTAAGGACAGAATTTCTGAATATTTTAGAGGCCACTTTCATCAATAGGTTCATCATATGTACAAAACAGTTCTCACAACTTTTTTTTTTTTTTTTTTTTTTTTTTTTTTTTTTTTTTTCTTAATGAGAGCAAAAGGCAGCAAATGCTGAGGTGACCAAGATTTTCGCCAGCAACTCATTGCTGACGGGCCAAATTTCAGTTCCTGTTTCAGAAGACGAAGGTCCTGCGTTGAGCATAAACCGAACTCTGTTAATTTACTTTTTATTTTTCCCCTAACAAGAGCAAACTGATCCGCCGTTTTTTAACCTTTCGATGGACCAGAGAGCGCAAACTGCCTTCAATGTGAAATACTTGGTGCGCTCAGTCTTGAAGAAGAGGAGATCGGTGTGGGACGAGGGGGATGGACACGTTTTGCGCTGCCAGAAGTGAGACGAAGCGCGCTATACGCGGCCGTCGGAGCTGCCGGTGCCCTTCTGACCCCCGAGCGAGGGGGCTCCGGGTGCGGCGGGGCGGGCAAGAGGGCGGGGATGCTGCGGGCGGGGAGCGCTCCCGCCCGGCCCCGGGGGCCGCGGGGGCCCGGTGCTGCCCGGCCGTCCCAGCCCGGTACGGAGCGGTCCATCCCGTCCCGTCCCACCTCCCGTGCTGGCGCTGGCTCCATCCCCTTGTCCCCGGTCGGGCGCCGCGCCCCCGCCAGCCCCGCGGAGCCGGGTTGGGCAGCCCGGGAGGCGTCTCCTCCGCAGCCCCCGCCCCCCCGCGCCGGTGCTGAAGCGCCTCGGCCGCTCCCCGGCAGCACCCCCGGGACAGCAGCACCCGGGCCTCCCTCCCTGCCGCCCGGCCCGGGCTCTCCCGCTATTCCGCTGCGGAGGACACCTCATGGAAAATAAATAAATTAATTCCCCAACTCACCCCCGCGGCCGGGAGAGGAGCCGGCGGCGGCCGCGGGATTAGATCCGGTCCGAGCTAGAGACCAGGTAATGTAACCTACCCGCCAGGAGGGAGGAGGAGGAGGACGAGCAGCGAGGCCGCTGAGGCTGTCCCCACCGGGGAGGGCTCCGGGGGACGGAGAAGTGGCTGCCGCAGCCGGGGCGCGCCGGCGTGGCCCCGGCGGGCTGCGTGCGAGCGGCTGCCCCCGCGCTGTGCGCGCCGCACTGTCAGTCACACACACACACACGAGCCACCGCCCACGCAGGGATGGATGGATAGATGGATGGACGGATGGATGAACGGATGGACGGACGGACTGACGGACAGATGCCGTGTGGGACGCAGCTGTCGTCCCCCGGTACCAAAGCAGTGACCGCAGGGAACCGCCGCAAGCCCCGCCGTGCCCCGCTGCCACGCGGGCGGCCGGCTCTGACAGCGGGGCAGGGAGGGAGGCGGGCGGCGGGGCCGGGCTGAGGCCGCAGCTCTGGGGGGAGCGAAGCGCGATCCCGCCCCCGCGCCGCTGCGCGCATCCCCGCGGGCGGCCAGCCCGGCACCGCGCCCCAGGCAGCGCCCACCCCGAGCGGAGCCGCGGAGATCCGCCGGGAAATGTGGGCGGGCAGCTGCGGAGCACGAACCGTGCCGCCGCGCTTGCCGTCATCAGACGCGGGCCTGCAAGAAGCTCTGTGGTCGAGGTGACCTTGGGGAAGGTGGATCTGGATGGAGCCGCTATTGCTCCGTGCCAGCTGCAGCACTAGGTTGCGTGCTCTGGGCTGCTCAGAGTCCCGCAACTCTTGCAATATTATCTCGAAGCTCTGCTGGCTTTAGTTAAGGGTTGTGTACAGAGGTCCTGGTATAGCTAGTACCAGAGCCAGGAAAACAGTCCTCCTTGATTCTCTTTACTTGACCTCTGCTAGCACACAGTCCTTGAACAGAATGGTCTGAAGAGTTTCCCTGGTGAGGAGCAATTGTCCAGGGTTCATCATTGTTGAAGTAGCCCCTAAAAGGCAGTTTATCTTAATAGAGAGTGAGAAGTTGCCCTGCCTATGTTTCAGACTAGTGTCCCCTGGTACTCCTGGGAAAGCACTTTACCTCTCAGTCCTGCAGGGTGATGAAACTGACACAAGTTCTCCACTGCTTTTTCGGTGAGGTGGACAGGAAAACAAAACAAAACAGAAAAATATTTGCAGGTACCTGGATTTTCTGGTGCTAGCCTGAGCTTTCAGTAAAGGAGTCTTTCTGAAATTGTTAGAAGCTGTTTTGCGAAAAAGAGAGAAACTGAAGAAAGCTGATGCCTTATGAAGATTTCCGTTCTTGGTCTCCATAATAATCGCTCATGTTTCCATCGTGGCACCCATCTGGGGCTCTCAAGTTACTGATCAAATAGTAATGAAATAGGTGCTTGCGGCTTCCATTGCAGGAATGGGGCCATAAACTTAACTGCACCAATTGAATGAACAACTCAAGTGCCTTAGCTCTGTCTAGATGAATCATGACAGAAAAGTTAGTCATTGAGACAGAGGGATGTAAACTTCTATTTAAAAGAATGAGAAAACTGGAAATTCAAAGAAAGTGGTATATACTTTTATGTACAACATGGCAATATTGAATATGGTACTTGAGCCTGAGTGCTGAACTGCTTCTACATGATGGAATAAATTTAGAGATTATAAGTGATTATACTCCAGATATTTCTATTATTTATGCAATTAATTACAGAACTGTAACTCCATGTATCTGTAAGGGCCTAGCTAGCTTAGTTTGCAGCATAGTGTTTATAATGTAAGTGTCTTCAAAGGAAAACTGATCATTTGGAATAGGCGGAGGGGTGGCTGGAAGTTATGGATTTTATTTTATGGCAGCTTTCAATAATTGCGGTTGATGAAGGCAGCCTGATTTCATTTGTATGGTGGAGATGTAGAATAGCCTAAATACTGTGATCTTCATAGAAGGTCTTCATGGAGACCTTCTATAGATAAGAAAACTCTTTGGATGGTATAGTGATACACTGATCTGAAGAGTTATTTTATATGTGAATGGGGAGATTTTGAAATAATACAAAGGGAAATATTAAAAAAAATCCCAGAGTGTAGTTAAATAATGTTGCTTTGCAGCTGCAGTAAGGAGTGAAGGAATTATTTTCCAGAAATTTTCATTATTAATAAATGCATCTGTAGTAGTGTCTTTAAAAGTTTCCTTCCATCTCTTTAACTTACTTCCATCTGTCATTTCTCTGTAGTATATATTGTATTTAAGCTCACTCAGCTCTTGCTATGGCAGAATTCTTGTTCTAGAATCCAAGTTTCATGGAGGCAGGAGATCTTTGGGCAGCCTAAATTTATGGACAGGCAAGTTAAGGGAGAGAAAAGTACACTTCTTGAATCACGAGCTGGTGTTTTAAAAATGTTTTTATTTAGTTTCTTTCTTGGATGTGGTTCACTACACCATACTTCTTTATAGGTTTTTCTTCTGGCACTCATTGCTTTTCTTTTTTATTAATTTTAGAAAAAAATTCACTTTGGTATCCTTTGTTTCTCAAGTAAATTATTTTGTCCTCCTTTGGCGAAGAACAGGTGCTTTTATTTAAAAAAAATAGTTATTATTTGACCCATTTTATTTCAAGAAAAGAGGATATGCTTCACCTGATTTTATTTTCCATTACAGAATCACATGTTGATTTTGAAGAGTTGCATTTTTCTTGAGAAGCTTGCTTTAGTAAGGATGGTGTCTGAATATAATTTTCAGTTAATTGTGTTGCTTAACACCGTTTGCCAGAATTGAAGCTGTCAATTTTCTTGTGTGAGAATTAAGAAGAAGGTTCTTGGGCCATGATAATAATGTGTGTTGTTAAATGAATTTTATGTTACAAAGTTAGTATAATTGCAAAAATGCAATTATCTTTTGAGTTTTATTAAAATGTTTAGGTCATAGCTATAAATCACTGAGAGAGAATGTTACCAGTGTCTGTGTCTGGTTGTGTAATATATATATGGCATGACATTTGCACAGCACCAAGGAGGAGGTTAGATAGGAAAATAAGATATCATTGACCCATTGTTTTATGTGTCAAATGAATGCCAGAAACTGGCTGAGTCCCCATATGCATCTCAGTCCAGATTTGCATTCCTTGACTTGCATGTATTTGTGATCTGTTGGGCAAGCTATTGTGAATGTTGGAATATTTGAGGAAAAGTTTGCAGTTTTCAAACAAAAGCACTTTGGCTACAAAGTAAGGGGACAATATTCCATGACTTAAGGAGCAGAGGATGTTGGACAAACTGACTGTGGAACTCTGTTTGGCTTTACAATCTAGCCAATATTTTTTATGGTTCTTGGTCTTATGGTCAAGCAATCAAAATAGTGTTAAACTCTTACTGAAGAGCAGAGGGCAATATAACTGGGTCACAAACTAGCAAGAGTCTCAGTTTTTATCTCTCTGTTTTTATCTTTGCAATCTTAAGACTTCTAGTTCATAATATTTGTTTTGGGGAGATTGTGGTGAGGGGGCAGATTCATCATCATCAGCTCTTTTTATAGATCTTAGTTTTAGTTTATATGTTATCTTTAGGTAGTTCCTTCATTTGAACCTTTTCAAGGTCAAGCCTCCAGTTCCATGAAAATATTTTATTTTTGGGACATAGTGCTTTTTTGTCTCATGACACTTTTAATAATAAGTCATCAGAGGTTTCCATGAGGAGCATTTGCTAATAAAAACAAAGATGTATTTTCGAAACTATATTAACATGACTAGGCCACTTCAAAAGTTTCCCAAAAATGTAGGCGGACAATAATGGAAAAGAATTGACTAAACAATATACTCTTTTCCTTTGTTGTTTTAAGACTTAAGATCTTAAGAAATGCAATTAATGTTAATTCATAAAAGCTGGAAGCACCAGAGAACAAACCTAAGCCAGTATTTTTTATTAAGTGCTGATACATTTTCTCTCAACTTGGTGTCATGATTATTGAATGTATATCAGTTCCAGCCAACAAGAAAACAGAGCTTTGCATAAATGCAAAAATGCAGAGATAGCATAAATCATATAAAATTGGCTAAGGAGTTTAGACTGTGGGAAACTTGTACTTTTAAGTCACCTGTCAACAAACCACAAGATGCCCAAACATAAGTTGGAATATTTGAGAATAGGTAGATCGACATTCTTTCCATATGGTTACTATGAAAGATAAAGAGAGTATCAAACTCCACAAAAAAAAACCCAGTCAAAGCTTAAAACTCTGCAGACTGGAGTTGCCCAAACATGCAAGATTGTTTAAACAGTGTTTGTTTTCTTTCAGTGTGAATATTTTTATCCCCCCAAAGAACACTTTACAGTTGTTTTGACAGCATGCTTGATAGTTACTTCACTTTTATCTCTCTTTAAGGTTTTCAGGTGGAAGACTCAGGTGTGGGTGATGATCAGGGCACTGTGGAGACATTCAGAAAGTATGTTGCACAGAAGACACCTCAAAACAGCTGTATATCAATAGCTTTTATTACTTATACATTTTAAAAGTTCTGGTCCTTCAGAGTAGCTCATCTTCCCACAGCTGCCAGCAGACTCCTGTGCAGCTTCAGGAGTGACCATTGTGTAGTGCCCTTCCGTCATGTGGCCTCGGGATCAGCAAACTGTTGGCAGCACTCCCACGTTTGGCAGCTAGGGATAGCACATGCAACAGAGAGTTGTAATGGTGTTCAAAGTGTGTTTGGCATCAAAGGACTTAAGTATTTGCTGTCACTGCAGTGGTGGTAATGACAGGGCAATGAAGTATGTTGCCTCTTCCATATGTTCTACAGTTTTAATAACAGAAATCAGTAAAATCGGTCACAAAACAGCAGTACGTCATCCCAAAAGATAGAATTTTTTTTTGTCCCGCAGAAGACTGTGGTACAAAAAAGAAGAGAAAAAAAGATGAAATCTTAATTTGTCTTTTGTGTGAGTTTCAACCTCACCTTCAGAAGTGTACTTTTCAGTGCTTGTGCTCTGAAATCACGAAATACTGAGAACAGGTATTTATTTTAAAGTACTGAAAGCACGTGAAGAAACAAACC